GTATTGCTGAGAAGGTATTCGCGTTTCTTTTTTCGGTAGGACTTTTGAAACGCCTTGTATATAAGACAAAATTATATTAAAATCAATCATCTTTGCAAAATATTGAAAAAAAAAGTGCATGAAAATCATGTTTCATTTTGATTTCGATATGTGCTTTAGATAGAAGGACTTCGGATGTATAGTTCAAAGCATATGTGAAGTGATGATTTTCTCATATCTCAATATTGAGCAAACTTATTTGGTCAAATTATATAGAATTCTATTGATTTTACGACCTGTTATTAAAATTTCCTTGAAACGAATCATTATTTTCATATATTCTTTCCTTTTTGGAATATTTTGCAAAAATGATAGGATGTGAAATGATGCTATTTGAAGTAGTATCAGATAAAAAGGCGTCCGAAATTTTCCTCTTTCTATGGCTGAAAAGTGTAGGTCAGTATCTATTACTGCTGTCGAGTTATTTAGTTTATACCCACCTCTCCTTGATTCTAGTGCAAACATTAGCTGGAATTTATTTTGCGTTTCTATCGTTATTGACTGAGACAATTGCTATCTTAATTGATCATGCACACGATTAATTTGTTAGAGTTATGTAAAACATATGTTATTTAAGTGTGTATATTCCCTATTTCTGGGTTCTATACATTTTTTGAAATACAAGATCTAAACAATTATGATAGACAGATGAAAGACAATCGAATATAATTTTTCTTATTCATAAATCATCACTAATTATGTTACAAATCAGGACAAATCTTATATCCAACTAAATGAGGCGATACTTTAATATCCACAGAGATTTGCAAATTTTTTTTTTCTTTCATTTATACACGAGAGAATAAGTTAAGACGGCTTTTTATGATATCATCTGCTTCCGATTACGCGTGAGAAGAGACACCCTAAGGCGTAGACGCATATGCACATATAGATATATATATATATATGTATATGTGTATAAATGTATATATTCTCATGACGATTTGTGTGAAAATGTGTTACTCGTGTGCTTTGACCAGGAGCATATAGACCAAGGGACATTCTCATCGAAAACATACGAATGTAAATAGATAATTGTTGTATAATCGTCAACTTATCAATAGAAATGACGTGTTCACATCTATGCGTCATCATTATGTTCAATTACGATACTCTCTGAATGCATTTTAACGTCAAAAAGGCGAGAAATACGTGTAATATAATGACGGAAAAGAAACAAAAGAAATCGAAGTAGTATTTCGAGTGTATTCATTTAGTCTTTGGGCAAAGAAAAGAAATGATTACATAAAAATGATTTCAAATTGAATCTCTTTCTGGGGGGTATACATTGATTGTATATTACTTGATAAGGTCAAAAGCAATTTTTTTCTATTTCAATATAATATAAGGGTGGAGTAAATCATCGAGTGAATTGACAAAGACATTTAAGATATCATTTTAGTCTCTTTTCTAAAGTGACCTATAGTTACCACATTAGAAAAGAAAAAGACACGGAGGCGGGTGATGTTATACATTGCATATATAGGCATTCATCAAGTCATTCAATGTCTTCTTTCTCTTCCGTTTTATCAAGTTTACATTTCACGACACCACGTCGGGTCATTCGCCGCGCCCATATTCTTTATCGTGATCCCCATCTGACTGACCGCTCGATCACCATTTCCATTCTTTTCGTTTGACTCATTCTTTTTTTCTTTCTGTTTCTTTCTCTCTTTTTTTTTCTCTGTTTTTAGCATTTTCATTCTGCTAACAACCTTAATAATCTAAACCAGAAGAGAGAAAAAAAAAAGAGGAAAAGAAAAAGAAAAAGAAAAGAGCAGTCCTTCTTACCATTAACGATATTCTCTCGTTTCTCTTTACGAATAACAAATGATAACAATCAAGCCAGAACAACAATGATAACAACAACAATAGACACTACAAAATGAGAATGCATCGAATAAAGACGAAGAAAAAATCGTGCTAATAATAATAATAATACAACGGCGACTGTAGTAACATATTCATCATTCTCCTGAACATTTATCTGTTAAGTCAGTGTATGTGTAGTACAAACAGCGAGTAAAAAAAAGAAGAAGAAGAGGAAAAGAGAAAAGAAGAGAAAGAGAAAGAGAAAGAAGAGAAAAAGAAAGGCCTATGTATATCACTTCTCAAATACATACAATGATCATGGTTGATGCACGTTGTTGGCCAAAACGGTGACCATTAATATAATAAAAGCTAAGATCATGTTAGTTCAAAGTTTCATATTATTCTTCATTTCATATCTGTCAATAGCGGAAACGGTAAGAATACATTCTATATTCATTTATTGTCTATTCTTTAGATTTCTAGGTTAATAATAATAATTATCATCAACGTCGTCACACGTTTTCGTCATCAACATTAGTAAAACTTAATGTCGATTATAAATGACAATGATAGATGTTTTCTTTTTCTTTCTTCTTCTTCTTCTAGGAATTTACAGCTAATGTTGATTATAATAAACTCTATCAACGATCATTGAATATTAATAATGCACGCGTCATTAGTACTGAACCACAAGATAAATTATGGTTTGCTATTGAGAATGGAACTATATTTGCTTTACCATTATATGGAGATTATTCAGGTCCATTTTTAATACAATTTCAACAATTCAATAATAATTCATATTCAGGTAAATATTTATATTATTAATTAATTCTATAAAATAAAAATTCTTTTATTCAAAAATAAAAAACAATAGATCTTAATAATTTAATTGAATTAAAATTAAATTTTAATTTTACTCCATCATCATCTTTATTTTATCCATCAAATCATCTCCTTCTTGCTTTATTTAATATTTCATCAACAAATTATAAGAATTCATTATTAAATCGTTATTTTATTATTCGAACATTATCATTAGCACTTAATTTAAGTGAATCATTATTAACCATACATAAAATAAATGGTTCTATGATAAAAGTTTATTTTTCATGTGATTTATATTTCTCAACAAATATAACATATCAATTAAAAACACTTATTGATCGTTATTATTCAAGACGTTTGGAATTAATACCTTTGTTTCCTTTACCATTAATTGAAATATCTATTATACGATTTTATAAATTAACAACAACAATAACAACAACAACAACAGTAACAACAACAACACCATCACCATCACCATCACCACCGTCACCATCAATAACAGCAATGATAAGTCCAATAATTGAAATAAAAAAAACTGAATTAACAATACGACCAAGATTATTAAATGATAATTCAATAAAACATAATCGAACAGTAACATCATTTAATAATCTTATTCTTCTTAAACAATTTTATCAACCACTCGTTATTGTACCATTGTCAATAATTGCTATCGGCTTATTTATATGTGCTATAATTGCATGTTGTCTTTGTTGTAATCGTCGTTCATCATCATCATCAACATTACTTTTACCAAGTGGACCATCTGGTAGTCCGAATAATAAACATTTATATCAACATTATTCATATCGAAAACATAAGCAACAACATGAATTTTATAAAAAAAAATATCGATATCATGATCAAAAACAATTTATTTCAAAAGGTAAAATTTTTTTTTTTTTTTTTGAATTTCAATTAAAAAAAAAATCTTTTTTTTTTTTGTTTATAGGCATTCCTGTTGTATTTGCCGAAGAACTTGAAGAAAAAATTGAACAAACACATACACCATTGGTTATGCGTATTGAAAAAGCACCATTTAATGATCAACAAGAACAAAATGAATTAGAAAGACCGTCATTTTGAAATATGTTCTGAAATCAGTGAATCAAAAAAAAAAAGAGAGAGTTTTTTTCTTGTTGTGTAGATTAGTATAATCTTTTCTTTGTCTCACTGAAAATTTTTGTGTAATGAACGAATATTTTCATACTATGTCATTGTCTTCAACTGTTTGTTTTTTTTTTGCATTTCTTTTTGTCTGGTAAATAACTCAGGTGTTCGATTTGTTGTGTTTATGTATCTGAGGAAATATGTTAATGGATTGAAAACAAACAAAAAATTTGATCTATTCTCATGGTGCTTTTCAAGTTGAGCAAAAAAAAACAGATATTAAATTTTAAATGCATTTTAAAGAATATATTGATTTCATAATGAGTTTTTTTTCCATCATTGAGTTATAAAAATGGTTTAAAAGAAAGTACAGCTCTGTTGTTCTTTCGTATTTTAGATATGAAAAGATTTATTATCAATATGATTTGATCACGATTAATGTATATGGAAAATGATTGATCGAATGTATACATTAGGCGACATTGATCAATTCAAATGTCAATGTATCATTCACAAGATATGCAAGAGGTAATACGACATGATTAAAATATATCACTACAATCGAAGTTATAACTTTTGTTTATTATACGTATTAAGAATATAATAAATAGAACAACGATGCAATCTATTCAAAGGAGTAATATGAATTGACCTATCATGAAAATGATGTATATGTATACATTGATCACTTAATTACTTCAAACAATAAAAAACGAAAATAGTTAACTAATGTATGATTATCATAGATGAAAGTGTATGCTATTGTAATGGATGATTACCATATGCTTATTGATAACTATATATATATATATATATATGTATATATCAAATACTTTTTTCAACTTAATGCTTCTTTTTGTATCTATAAGTTTAATCTTATTAATACTATTTAGCTAATTATGTCTATGAACATATCAGATGTTTATAGCATATTGATGTTGTTATTAATTGGCTAATATCATGAAACTTACAAACAAAATAAATCATAAAATTGTATTGATAAACATAGAAACAACTAATCAATCATTAACTGATTACTATAATTATGTTGTCTTAAACAAAGAAGACGATTTAAATTTTACATTTCATTTATCATTGATATCTTATTGAAATAACTAAAATAAGAAAATAAATGATTGGTTTTTTTTTCATTAATTTAATTAATTTATTCTAAGATAAACTTTTTAAAAAAAAATTTTTTTTTTTAGATGAGTACTTCTTCAATAGATGATAAAGATATTACACGTGAATTATGGCAATCACGTTTACCAATATGTTTTATATTATCTGATGAAGATATGAGTAAAGTAAATCGTTCTGAATCACCAGAACCACTTTATTTAATGCTTTCACGTCATTCTTATTTTCCATGTATAATTGAAAAAATTTTTCGTTATTATTCAACATATTATAAAGGAAATTTAAATGATCAAACTAATAGTATAAATCTTAATAACTTATGGCTTGAATATGAAAGTATTCCACTTAAATGGCATTATCCAATTGGTCTCTTATATGATTTATATACATCATCGCTATCATCATCATCATCAGTATCTCATTTACCATGGCAAATCATAGTTCATTTAAGTAAATTTCCTGAAAATGAATTAATACGTTTTCCAGATATAGAATCAATTGAAGCACATTATATGACAACATTAAAAGAAGCCGATGCACTTAAACATAAAGGACAAATAATTGGTGATATGCAAAAACGTGATCATAAACAATTATGGAATTCATTATTACAAGATAAATATGAAGCATTTTGGAATATAAATATAAAATTAATGTCTTATACAGATAATTTACAATATTTTCGTTATATACCATTTCGTATATATATATTAGATAAACCATTTATGCAAAAATTATTTTCACCATATGATATTGAACAAAATAAATGGATGACATTATATGATTTATTACAATATACATTAAATCATGAAGTACAATGTGAGAAATTAGCTAATGAAAAAAAAATTTTAAATAATAATATTGAAAATTATCGTGTTATTATACATGGTGTACAACCACCACTTCATTCACCAATACAATGGCTTAGTGAATATTTTTCATATCCAGATAATTTTCTTCATATATGTCTTATTGAAAATCAGATGCGTTAATGAAGAAACTTAACTTACTGATGTTTTTCTTTGTCATTCTAATCATTTATATATTGACTTCATCTGTTTTTTTTTCTTTTGTCATTTTATCTTTGCGATTGTCTAAATATATATATATATATATTTATATGAGTGTATGTGTATGTGTGTTGGCGTCCCTGTATTTTTGATGCATTGTAATAAGATAAGAAATGGAGAAACTTCGATTATTATATGAAAAATATGGAGGAAATGGATATTACGGTGAGCCTGTAACTCAGTATGAGCATGCTTTACAAGCCGCATTTTTTGCTGAACAATATGCTCCAAACGATAATGAATTGATTGTAGCTGCATTTCTTCATGATATTGGCCATTTATTAGGTGAAAAACAAGAAGATCTTATGGGTAATTTAGGTGTTCTACGACATGAACATATTGGTGCTGAATATCTTCGTAAAAAGGTTGGTTTGTCAGAACGTATATGTTATCTTGTTGAAAATCATGTTAATGCTAAACGCTATTTAACTCATATTGATAAAGATTATTATAATCGTCTTTCAGATGCATCAAAACAAACACTTGTATATCAAGGTGGACCGATGACGAATGATGAAGCAGAAAAATTTCGTTCGCATCCTCAATTTGAATATAGTCTTCGCATGCGTACATTTGATGAAGCAGCAAAAGATATACATTTTAATAAGTATGAAGGAAAAGCTAATCAATATTGGAATTTAGTTGAAAAATGTATCAGTAAAAATTAAATTATTTTTCTCTTAAAGGAAATCAAAATAAACCACAAAAAAAAGACTTCTTTTTTATTCCATAAACTATCGACCTCTGTTGTAAAAGTCAACTACTTTTCTTATTCATTAGATTTTAGAAAGACATAAATGATTCATTCGCATTTAAACAAGTAAAAAAAAAAGTCAATCAAATGACTTACGACATTTATTAATAAATAGAAATCAAAGACTTATCTTTCTATTCAATCAAGATTTTTCACAAATTATTCAATGAAAATTTTGTTCATAAATCAAATTAATATGTGATTGTTCACATTTTTAATAAGTTAAAAATTTTATTCTTTTCTATATAAACAATTCAGATATGAAATCTATTTCAATTGAACTTAGTAGCTTATAAAATAGAAAATATTATGAAAGTAATGAGGAATCTTTTAGAAGAAAAAAAAATCCTCATATTTAATTATTTATAAAGATTATATAAAAATTTCATTAAAAATATTTTAAATATTTATTGCATTTATTTATGTTTTATTTTAAGATATATTACATTCTTTAACGTCTGTAATGTCTGGAGAGACACCATCTAGTACGACTAGTAACAACAATATTGTTGATCTTTTATCAACATTAAATCCGGTAGCTGCAGCTGCAGCAATAGCAGCAGTATCAACAACGACAATATCAACACCGTCAACTAGTACAATTCGTAATGATGATATAAATATTGATTCATCAGATTTTGTTCCTGCTAATCGTTTACTTACACAAAGACAAGCAATACATAATGCTAAACAACGTATATTATAAAGATTTATTTTCTTTACATTTATTAGTTTTTCTATTTATTTAGTTGAATCATTACGAGAACAGCAACAACAACAACAATTGCAAAATATGGAAATTGATGATCAACAAGCATTTGAAGTATCATTTATTAAACACAGGTATTTAAAAAAAAAACAAATAAACAAATATTTGAATTAAACGAATAATTGAAAAGTTTTTAAATAAGATTTTTACTCCATTAGAAAGTATTTCTGATGAGTTAGGATTAAAATTTTGTGCTCTTTTCGAATATGAACTTGAAAATTTTGTCTCAGATTTTTGTTCGAGAGCAGTGCAATAGTTCTTAAAAAGCACAAAAACAAAAATTAATTTGGACTGAAGATTTTTGTATTTTCACTATTGTCATTCGAAACTAAAAGTTAGAATTTGTATTTATTTATTAAGGTTATCCCACGGTATATGTGACACTTTGTACACGACTTCCTCTAAATTGATTTTCACATTTCAAATTTTGTAGAGTATAATCGATTTATTTACTATGCTGACAAAAGATCTGCTATAAATTCTTATATTAAAGAGATCAGTGATTCGCAAAATTAAAGCAAAATATAGCTAATACTATATAAAAACACTGCAATAAAAAGTCTTAAATGTCCATTATCATATATCTTTAACGCAGAATTTGGACACATAATGAGATAGCAGGTTTTATAAAGCAAAACTTGTTTCACACGCCCACATAGAACAATTTCCGCGGAGGTACCAAACAGAACGTCATTTTAGTACGAAAATATTATCATACGTAATCAAATTATCAGTATATATGACAATACTTTCGTGCGAAAATGACCTTCTGTTTGGCACTCCTGTGAAAAGTATTCTATATGAGTGCATAGAGCGAATTTTGTTTTACAAACTCTGCTATTTCATTATGTGCTCAAATTCCACGCTAGAGATATATGATGATGGACATTTTAGCAGTGTTTTTATATAGTATTAACAATATTTTGCTATTATTTTGTAAATCACTGTTCTCTTCAATATAAGAATTTACAGCGGATCTTTTTTTAGTGTCACATATACAAAGGCACTTCCATTTTCGTTTTTCCTACATACTCATTTTTGAAAAATCGATAACCATTCCACATGAAAAGAAGCTCTTGAACAAACGCTTGTAGCCTCATTTGAGTAGAAGCTACAGCTTAGTACAATATCAAATTTTGTAGAAGTGTCTACTTTACAAAATGATTTACTCCGATAAGTTTTAGTATTTTCGAAAAGGACGTTATAGGGTGAACAAAAATTGAAACAATATTCGAAAAGGGCACAAAAATCATACCTTTTGACTCATTGGAAATAATTTCTAGCAGGTTAAAAGTCAACAAACATCTTGTTAAGAATAGTTTCCAATTACTCATTATTGTATTTTTTTTTTCTTTCAGTAATGCATTTCATACATTATATGAGTTTTATCAAGATCAAATATTATGTGATGTTGAAATTGTTTGTGATAATCAAACATTTTTATGTCATAAAGTTGTACTTGCTGCAACAGTTCCATATTTTCGTTCCATGTTTACATTAGGAATGCTTGAAGCTGATAAACGTCGTATTGAAATTCAAGATATAAATCGAAATTCATTAAAAACAATTATTGAATTTGCATATACAGCTAAAGCTATAATAACAATAGATAATGTACAACATTTATTATTTGCATCAACTGTTTTACAAACAGAAGATTTAGCTGAAGCATGTTCAAGTTTTTTACGACAACATTTATCATTAACAAATTGTACAGAAATTCGTCAATATGCTGAATTACTTAATCGAAAATCATTAATTGATTTAGCTGATGAATATATTCGTGATCATTTTTTAGATATTATACAAATTGATGATTTTTATAAAATTTCATATAAACATCTTAAAGTAGATTTACAAAAAAAAAAAATTTTCTTTTTTTGTTTTTATTTAAAATACATTTCTTTTTCTTTTTAAGGAACTTATTGCATCACCTGATTTAGGTATTTTGGATGAAAAAGATGTTTATGATGCTGTTATTAAATGGGTTAAACATGATCCACGAGAACGAGCCGCTCATCTTGCTGGTATAGAAAATAATCGATAGACCTGAAAGTTTTGCAACAAAATGTTCTTTCATTTGTCCAACCGATTAGGAAGGAAGAATATTTCTGTCTTTCAGTAGGGTGTACTACCTAGTGACAGATTCAATAGCTTGGTATCTACTAGTTGTAGATCTGGCCAGAAGGCCGACATGACGCACAGTTTCTGCCCTCGCCATACAAACTAACTAGTCACAAGAGTAGATGTATATCATAACGTAATCAATATGCTATTGGATGGGTGATCCGAGACAAACAGTCTTTAGTGCCTTGTGAATACGTGTCGAACAACATAGAGATTCCATCATGTCGACATTGAATCGATTTAGATGATCAGCAGATCTTAGAAAATATTGGTTTGAAATTAGAATTTTGTTCTCTTTCCTAATCTAGGTTCAGAATTTTTATTAGATTCATATTTTAGAAGTTATGAGCAAATCTTTGAAAGGTGTGAAAAATAGTGTAAATGAAGACAGTTGCTATTAACAAATCCATAGATAGAGAATGCGATAGTATCATGTTAGAAATTGTTTCCATGATGTTTTTCAGCAATTTTGTATTTCTAGTGTAGAGATATCGGTCTTGTTTAAGTCTCATTTCCTTTCGTTTGATCGCATCATGTTTTGAAAATTTTTCAACCAGTACCTAGAGGACGGATGTTCGTCTCAGCCAATGATCTGTCTGCTTTTGCATATATTTTAACAGCGATTTTTTTGCACAGCATGACCCTCAAAATCAAGGAATTACAAAAATGTTACTGTGCTTTTTGTCAAAATGTTCATTATTAGTAGATGCCTTATGGAAAACTAATCATCGAGATATTATGTCGTAGAGAAATGTTTATTCTTTCTGTTAGTGTATTTGTAATAGATTTTACTCCTATCCGGCACATTTTTTTTGCGTTATGAAACCTATCCAAATTTTATTTTCAGACCTTCTATAGATTCGCTCATAATTTCAAATATATGAGTCTAATAAAAATTTCGAACGTTGATTGAAAAAGAATATAAAATTTTGATTTTAAGCTAATATTTTATTTATAGGTTCTATTGATCATCTTAATCAATGAAAAAAAAATGAAAAGAACATTTTATCTCAAAACTTTTGGGCCTATCTCTGAGAATATTTAAAAGAAAACTTGAATAATTGTTTTTTTGCTTTAAGATTTATTACACGAAGTTAAATTACCATTAATTAATACTGAATATTTATTAACTGTTATTGCACAAGAAGAATTAATTAGAACAAATTTAACATGTCGAGATTTACTTGATGAAGCTAAAGTATATATATTTAAAAAAGCAAATCTTTTAACAACAAAATCACCTATGGGACCAAAAATTATTCCAAGAAAAACAGCTGCAGGTAAAAATTTCTTTGAATTTAAATTAAAGAAAATCTATGTATGAAAATAGGTGTTTTATTATGTGTTGGTGGTCGTGGTGCTACAGGAGACCCATTTAAATCGGTAATAATATTTGTATTATTTATATGAAATTTAACATATGATTCTTTTGTTTTTTGTAGGTCGAATGTTATGATTTAAGACATGATCGATGGTTTTATATAGCAGAAATGACAACACGACGACGTCATGTTGGTGTATGTGCAGTAAATGGTCGTGTTTATGCCATTGGTGGACATGATGGAAATGTTCATTTGAATAGTGCTGAAGTATTTGATCCACAAACAAATCGATGGGAACCTCTTGCACCAATGAATACATGGCGGTAATATAATTTTTGTTTTTTGTTTTTTGTTGTTATTTCAGAAGTATATATTTAATTTAGTCGTGGTATTGCTGTCGGTTGTCTTGGTGGTCCATTATATGCTGTCGGTGGACTTGATGATTCGACATGTTTTGATACTGTTGAACGATATGATATTGAACATAATACATGGAGTACAGTTGCATCTATGTCAACAGCACGTGGTGGTGTAGCTGTAGCAGCACTTAAAGTAAGAAATTAAATTCAGAAGTTTAATAATAAAGATACAATAGTAGACAAAATTCTTTCATATCTCGGGTATTACACATGCTGGAAGTCTGACAATTTATATGCACATACTGTACTAAGAATTTAGTTCATAAGCACGAAATCATCCCGATTGCTTGAATTCATCGAGAACTGTGATAAAGAGTGCTGATCTTTGTTTCAATCATTTAGCTTGAAAATAAATTGTCTACTACATTTTTTGTTATCTGTTACTAAATACATGACTAATTCTTGATATTTTAGCATGTAAATAGACGCCACTCTATGCTCTTTCTTTGACTTGAAAGATCATGTAATTTAATCTTTGACGACGGAATTTCTCCAAGTGTTAAATCGTTTTTCGATCGAGACAATGTTTATTTGATGAACGTTAGTGAATAATAGAAAAGTCCAGAATTCTCTCGTTTTCCGGACTATCATTCTCGAGATATCGAAATTTTACTGGATTTTTCACATGAACTGAGGAGAACTACAGCTGCTTGTCGAAAAATCCAGTAAAATTTCGACATCTCGAGAACGAAGACCCTGAAAACCAAACTACTCTAGACTTTTCTAGGACTCTCTAGCATTCACGAGTCATCTGTGTCGACATGATGTTTATTCGGATAGAATTTTTATTTAGTAGAAGGTTCTTTCATGAAATTTGTAGGTGATAATGTTCAACTACAGACAAAGGTTATGTACATGTTTCTGCTCGATTTACTGAACTATCTACTGAGTTGTGGTCTCCAAAGATCAGCAGATAGTTCTTCTCTACTTCGATGATCATGCAAAAATGACTACAATTCTAAGAAAGGTGGATGAAACTGATACCGTAGATACCGGAACAAACCACTAAATAATGAAAAATAGGCCGACTCACAAAGTTCTTCTTTTTTCAGAGTTATGAAGTTACATGGATAAATAGATACAATCCATTACCATTCATTAGAATTCTCGTTCCATTTAAACATTTAAGATAAGCTCGTGTCTCAGACCTACATTATTAGTGAAATATATGTTCTCACAAATTTTCCGACTTACAAGCATATATATGGTAGTGTCCGACTTGAGTCAGATTGAGACAAAAAAAAAAGTTTGACTGATGCCGGGCACTGATATATGATAGTCGAGACATAGAGGATGGGAGACTTTTGTTCACTACCGTAACTTATTTGAATTTTTTAGGGTTATTTGTATGCGTGTGGTGGTAATGATGGAAGTTCATCGTTGAATTCATGTGAACGTTATTGTCCATCATATGATAAATGGACGCCAATAGCTTCAATGAATAAACGACGAGCTGGTGCATCTGTAACTGTACTTAATAATCGACTTTATATACTTGGTAAAAATTAACTGAAAATATTTTTTTTTTGTTATATTGATCAATTTTTAATTTCAGGTGGTTTTGATGATAATTCACCACTTGATTCAGTTGAATGTTTTGATCCTGATACTAATATTTGGACGATGGTACCAAATATGACATCATGTCGTGGTGGTGTTGGTTCAGCTACTCTAGGTAAAAGAATTTATTCATTATTAGTTTTATTTATATTATTTTTGTTACATAAGGTGGTCGTATTTATTCTGTTGGTGGACATGATGGTTCGACCTATTTAAAAACAGTCGAAGCTTATGATGCTGAACATCAACAGTAAGTTTATTATAAAATGTTTTTTTTTTGTTTTTAAATATTTTTCAATTCGTTTTGTTTTTTATTTATTTAGATGGGGATCAGTAGCAAGTATAAATATATGTCGAGCAGGTGCCGGTGTATCTCAGTGTGACATTAGTATTTCACAATTATGCGAAGTAAAAAATCCAACCAATCCATCCAGTTGTGTATAGGCAAATAAAACGACTAAAAAATCAATCTTCGACATCTATGGAAAAAAAAAATTTCTTGTTTGTTAATTTCACAGTGTGTTTTTCTTTCTTTTTGTCTATAGGAAACCCTTTCTCTTCAATCTCTTGGTTATCATCATTTTGTCTGCCTTTGTGTACCTTTTTTGTTCCTATTTGTTTAAAAAAAGAAACGAAAGAAAAACACCAATATTGGCCATATAGAATCTCAATGTATAAAAGAAAAAAGAGAAAATGACAATCGATTATGTAGATTATCCCGCCTTTATCATTGTATAAAATTTTTTATTCTTTGTCTTTTTTTTTTGGTCCTTTACTAACATCTATTTTGTTTAAACACAAAAGCAAACATTGCATTTCTTTTTCTTATGTTAATTTGTAAACTTATTAAAATGTCGAATACTCTGCATTTTTGTTTTAATTAAAGATCGTCTTTCGACAAATTTGTTCAACAACAAAAAAAAAAACAAAACATCATTCTCAAAGAAATTTAAGTCATGATCTGGTATATAGAATAAATAATCATGGACAAAAATTAAACAATGAACTTTTTCTAAGAGTTGATCATATATATATGGGGTTGAGCAGTCTGATCGGATGTCCCAATTCTATTTTTGTACGTGTAGCTTCTATAGTATATCAGAAAAATATGATTCTTTTACTAGTTGTAGTACTCATATAATGCTAATGATCTACCAAGAATAGGAGGTCTATACCTTGTTTATAACCAAAATAACCAAGTTCTTCGAAAAATCGCTTGTAAACATCAGAAGATTTTTTGAAGACACTTAATTATTTTGATTTTAAACAAGGTATATACCCATTATTTCTGGCAGATCATCAACATTATACGCGTACTATAAATAGCAAAAAAATCATAGTTTTCGGATATACTATGGAAGCTACACGTACAAAAATAGAATTGGGACATCCGGCCAGACTGCTCAACCCCATATATATATATATATATATATATTCTGTTCTGTAGTCCAAAGTCACCGTAAAACTTATAGTCGGTTTTCAATAATTATTAGGTTAACTATTCCATGTTATTAATCGAATATGAAACTATAAATAATCTTTGTTGAATATTTTTAGATCATACTCAAAATGTTATCAATATTGTACAAGATGCTTCGTATGATACTTATGAATGAACCTCCTTAGATACTCTCTTCCGATTTCAAGAACTTTTTGTCTATAGGTACTAAATTACATTCTAGAAGAATTTGAGTTCCTCTTGAGACACGAGGCAGATACTGAATTTTTATTATATTTGTTCGCCAGAAGTGTCTTATCGAACAGAGTACTACAATCCGTAGGCTGGGTACCTGTATCTTTATCTGAGTACGAGTAGAAGGTACGAATGTGAATCCCTTGTGTGGTTGACTGTGAAGATCGACGAAGATGAATGCCTAAACGAAATGTTGTTTATTTCGAAATTACACTCTATATATAGAGGTGTACACGATAGAAATATCCGTGATGAATAACAACATAGGAAAAATCCAATAACCATGATGAGAACGAAAGGAAAAATCCAATAACCATGATGAGAACGAAAGGAAAAATCCAAGTGACAAGAACAGTAAAAAGGGGAAAAGTTCATATGTCATGAAGGAGAGGACAGAAACATCACGGGATGGATTTTAGTCATTCAGTGACAATGGGTAGCAGACGTCCGGGTTCGCGTACGAAAATTTGTGCCTGTGTACTACTCTACTATGGAATTTCACTGTTTTCGAAGAAGTTGGGTTTTTTAATTTTATCTTTAAACTACCTCTATTGGAAGGTTTCACATGCACATGCCGTATCTTATACGAAGAGTTTCATAGCTTGAAGACTTTGTATGTAATAACCATAGACAAAAAAATCCTTGAAATCGAATTGGAGCATCTAGTAAGATTACCTCATTAGAAATATCATTGTTTCAAAACACATTCTCATCTTTACAAACATAACGTAAATCATAATTAATGCTGAATAATTTCCTCAGAGTCTTTGTATGTTGTCATATCAATATCTAACAAAACGCTAAACTTTTTTTTTTATAAATTATTGTTGTCTATAGTTATTTGACATGTTTAAACATGTAAATTTTTTATTCAATAAAAGAAAAAGAATCAAATTCTGATTTATTTATAATCGATGAGTGATATCAATTTACACATACATAAGATCTTTCATAATTTATTTATTCTTTATTCTAGATTAAAATAAAATCATTATGACAACACCATTTGGTCTTTCATCTACAGCAACAACAAATACATTAGTATTAGGTCAAAAAGATTTAGAAATAATTCAACCACCAGATGATGCAATATCATGTTTAAAATTTTCTCCATTATCCATTCCACAAACATATTTAATTGCAAGTTCATGGGCAAATGATATACGTTGTTGGGAAATACAATCTAATGGACAATCAGTTGCAAAAGCAATACAAAAACATGATGCACCTATATTAAGTTGTTGTTGGTCAGAAGATGGTTCAAAAGTATTTACAGCTGGTTGTGATAAAACAGCTAAAATGTGGGATTTACAAGCAAATACATTTGTTCAAATAGCAGCACATGATCAACCTATTAGAACAATTCATTATATTCAAAGACCATCATATTCATGTGTAATGACAGGAAGTTGGGATCGAACTGGTAGGAAAAAAAAAATTTTTTTTTTTTGTTAATACTATACGAATAAATACATATCGTGTTTATTTATTTTTTTCTCTTGTATTATTTTAGTTAAATTTTGGGATACACGTCAAGCAACACCATTAAAACAATTAGCACTTAGTGAACGTATATATGCTGCTGATGTCTTTGGTCCAATGGCTGTTATAACAACAGCTGATCGTAATATACAAGTTTATTCACTTGATCAAGGACCAACTGAATATAAAAAAATTGAATCATTATTAAAATATCAACATCGTTGTGTATCAATTTTTACAGATAAATCAAAAAATCCAAATGGATTTGCTGTTGGTTCTATTGAAGGTCGTGTTGCTATAATGTATGTTGAAACAGCTAATCCAAGTGTTGATAATTTTACATTTAAATGTCATCGTTCAACTCCTCAACCACCAACTAATACTCAAGATATATTTGCTGTTAATGATATTGCTTTTCATCCTATACATGGTACATTAGCTACAGTTGGTAGTGATGGTCGATATAGCTTTTGGGATAAAGATGATCGAACAAAATTAAAAACAAGTGATGTTATTAATGATCAATCAATAACATGTTGTACATTTGATAGTCGTGGACAATTATTTGCTTATGCAAGTTCATATGATTGGCATAAAGGTCATGAAGGAAATGTGCAAACAAAAAAGAATGCAATCTATTTTCGACAATGTTTCGAAGAAATGAAACCAAAACCAAAAAAATAGATCAAATAACCAATTAATCATTCTTACTGTTATTATTATTATTATTATTATTATTTTTGAACTTTATTGATATCTTTTTTTTTTTGTCTTTGTTATGCTACGATATTTGTTGATCATTTTGTATATAGACAAAGAACATAGGAAAACAAGAAAACAAAAAAAAAAACATCTATCAACATTATTTTTTTTTTAATCTAAAGAAAGAAAGAAAAAAAGAATGACTAAGCATTATTTTACTTGGGCACATATAGAAAACAAGTAGAATAGATATCCTTATTTACCATTTGACACAAATTGAATTCTCTTCGAATACTCGTATTTTTCTATCCAATAAGACATTTTTATTCAACAAGCTTATCTACAGCAAATAAATATATATACCTTAAAGAGAAATCCTTTTAGTATCATAAATTATCAAATATATTACAAGTCGTATTGGTCTTTTTTATAGTATCAAAAATACACGATAGTAATATTCAACCACGTATAAAGAGTAAATGTAACAAAAATACTAAAAGTTCGAGTAAGAACGTTAACCGACGACTGTTGTGTTGTTATTTCTTTTGTCGTTGATTGCTTATCTTGCTCTATGTAATAAAACACACACATCTTCTGTTGACTATGTCTTTGATAAAACATAATGACAGAGTTTGCTCTTCGTTCGATTGTGAAAACGAACTCTGGTCCATCTTTTCAACCATCATCTGAAACAGAAACACGTTGAGTGATTTCATTCTTTTATCTTATTGAAAATTTTTATTGAATTTATTCATTTCTTGTTCTTTTTTCTAGATATGGCCAATAACAATACGAATAAAGGGTTTCGACGTTTTGGTCGTCATTATTTACTTCTCTTATGGAAAAATCTTATATTAGCAAAACGTATGCCAGTACGAACATTTCTTGAAATAACGTTACCAGTATTTTTTGGCTTTCTTTTACTTGGTATAAGACATATCGTCAAATCAGAAATACATCCATCTGGTAGAACTTATGATCCATTTTCTGTTGATCATTTACCTACATTTTTGGATCAACCTGTATCAATGATTGGTTATACACCACAAACAAAGTTTACTGATGCAGTTATGAAAACAGTAGCTGCTAAACTAAGGTTATTTCGTAAGTTGTTTAAAACTATAAATAATAGATTTTATTTGAAAATCAGTTTTTTTTAGAAATTGGTTATAATGATGAAAATTCACTTGTCACAGAAATTAATAAAGATATGCCACAATCACCATTTCTTGGTGGTGTTGTATTTACAAATTTAACTTTAGAATTAAATATAACATATAAAATTCGTCTTGCAGCTAAATTAAGAAATTCTGGAATAGGGTATATTTGATGATATTTTATTTTGTTTATTTAATTAGGATTGTTTGATTTTTATTTTAGAACTCTTTTTAATGGTCAAAATAATTGGCGAACAAATTTACTTTATCCATTATTTCCGATTATTGGACCCCGAAATAGTCATAATGAAACGGGAGGACCACCTGGTCAGTTGAATAAAACTTAAATAGTTTTCTTTTTTTTTTTTTAATATTTTGATTTCTTTGAATTTTAATTCAGATTATTATGAAGAAGGTGAGTCAATTAATAATCATGATTTATATCTGATTATTTCTTTATTTATTTGTTTGTTTTTGTTTTTTCATAATAGGTTTTCTTACATTACAACGAGCTATTGATATGGGAATTCTTAATGAACTTAATTCAACATTTAATTCATCGAACATTAATATTCAACTTCAACGTTATCCATTTCCACCTTATAAAGAAGATAATTTTGTACTTGTTATTCAAGTTTGGTTTCCTTTTTTACTTATTATGTCATATATATTTGCAGCTATTAATGCAGTTAAAAATATTGTTTATGAAAAAGAAAAAGGTTTAAAGGTTTGTATATATATATAAAAATTCAAAATAAAATCAATATATTTTTTTTTCTGAAAATTTTAGATTGCTATGACTATTATGGGTCTTAACGGTTGGATTCATTGGTTATCATGGTTTACTCGATCGCTTGTTTTTTTGACAATAGCCGATATACTTATAGCTGTTTGTTATATTGTTAAAATTCCATTAAAATCTGGTGGTTCCAGTTCAATTATTGGAGAATCGGATATCACATTGGTTTTCTTTTTTCTATTTTCTTATTCAATTACATCAATATGTTTTATGTTTTTAATCAGTACACTTTTTGATAAAGGTAAAGGAATGTTGAACTGTACTTTTTTTTTTTGTAGAACTTATATATTTTCGAAGAGAATAGTGAGTGTCAGTTTTAAGTTGAAGTTTTGCAGTTTCACTTCCATTAATAGACCTTACCTATTGAGAACAAAAGGCGTCAGATTTTTTTTTCCAGAGTTTCTTAGCGATGAAAAAAAGGTGCTGAACAGC